ATTACATTTGAAAAAAAAATATATATATACATATATATATATAAAAATAAAAAAAAATTAATGTGAAATTTCATTATTTGTATTTAGTGTATGCGTTAACATACATAAATACAAACATAAATACATACATACATACATACATACATACATACATACATACATACATACATACATACATACATACATACATACATACATACATACATACATACATACATACATATATATATATATGCATGCATACATATATACATCGTACATACGAGTATATTAAGAAAAAAAAAAAAAAAAAAAAAAAAGAAAAGACAATAAATTAGCTAGTATCGTTTCTTTCGTGAAATTTGATAAAACGATAGAGATAAAAAGAAGAAGAAGAAGAAGAATAAGAATAAGAAGAAGAGGAGGAAGAGATAAAGATAAAAAGAAGAATCTAGATCGATTGAAAGTTCGAGATTAAGATTTTTCTTCTGGCATCTCATTGTTTCCCACAAATCGGATGATATTATCGAGGGCCAATCGTGCGAAGCATTATTTTTTTTTTGGTTTGTATAGTTTAGAAAATTAATTTCGTCGTTGCTTTGTTTTTTTCTTTCTTCTCTTTTCTTTTTTTGTTTCACAGTAATGATCTCAATTTTATAACGAATCACAAATAATCATAATAATTATTATCGGACAATTATTATTATCGTTAATGATGATAATAATTATCAAACAAGTATCATAATTAAAAATGATCGTAATAATTTTCAGACTATCATTATGATCGATCAGAAGAAAAAAATGAAAATTATTAAACGATCGCCGTGATTGGTTATTAAATTGAGATGGAATAATTTTCATAACACAATTACTATCATATAATAATTAATCTATATTCTAATCGTATTATTATGATCATTATAGGATCTACATGATGATAACAAAATCATCGTAATATAATTTCTTTCTTAAAACAAAACGGAGCTATTTTGATATCGGTCATCTTAAATTAAATTAAATTAAATTAAATCTATCTAATTAAATTATCACGATCATTATGATCACCATAATTATAACAAAAGATAATCACAATAATTTCTTCTTAAAACAATCGAGCTTTTTGATTTCGGACATCTTATGCCAAAAAAAAAAAAAAAGAAAAAAAGAACAGGAGAAGAATATTTCGATATATATGATTCGATAATATCGATTAATTCACAGTCGAACGAGAATAGATGGATATCGATGACAAGAGAAACAGAGAAAGAAAGAGAGAGAAAAAGAGAGACAGAGAGACAGAGACAGAGACAGAGAGAGAGAGAGAGAGAGAGAGAGAGAGAGAGAGAGAAAATCTTGTCTGGTTATCGATAGTCGTGCGAATGCGCAAAGGCAAAACGATATCTCGTTTGCGATACATACCACGCATGCGTAGAAATATAAAAGCACCCCAGTTGGTTTTAGTACGCGTCCACACCCCCGACGACGAAGAGAGACTATGTCCGACTATCGATCCGTCTTTCTAATATACTCGTCGGAACATTTAAAATCCAACATCAAAACCAAAGACGCCATTCATCGTACGTAAAACTCCTACCTACCTACGCGAGTAATACTATCTCGAATGTGTAAAATAATTTATCGTAAACATTGAAAAAAGAAAAAAAAAAAAAAAAAGAAGAAAAGAAAAAAAAAAGGAAGAAAAAAAATCACGTGATCTTTTAAACGTCCAAAAGTATTGCGTGTAATAATTATTTTTCTCTTTCATTTCGTGAAATTAAATCAAATTGTATTATAAAAATTAATTTCTATTAAACAATGAGAGAGAAGAATTTAATCAATCAGTAAGTATAGAAATTAAATTTAAAATAATAATAATAATTATTATTATTTATTTTCTATTATTCTCGTTTACTTTTCTTTTCTCACTTGCTAAACGAATAATTTCTTTCCTATTTTCATTCTAATAATTAATTTATTAAATACATCGATGATAAGGTATACATATATATATATATATATATATATATATATATATATATACGATTAGATATGAAAGATTGATAATTGTAAAGGAGCAATGATTTAGTTAGTGAATTAAAATTGGTTAGTTCAATCGAAAGAAAAAGAGAGACAACAAACGATAGATGTTGAACGTATGCATGTATGTGTGTGTGTGTGTATTTATGTATGTATATATATATGTACGCACATAATATGTGTGTGTGTGTGTGTTTATTCGCATACGTGATCTTTCATTGAGTATACCTTTTAATCAATTTTCTTTTTTTTTTTCTACGATCATGTGAATCATATCACTGTCGTATAATGATCTCTCTATTGACTAATGTATAAGCATAAACTTTTTTGTTTTTTTGTTTTGTTCTTTTTGTTTTTTTTTTTTTTTTTCTATTTATTAAATTCCTAAGTTGAACTTAAATTTATATTATACGATATAATTTTCTTTATTACTTTTAATATTTATTATAAAACAATTGTCAACAATATATTCTTGCTAACGTATAAACATTAATATAAATAAATGAACGATTCATCGATGAATATAATTGATAAAATTGATTTGAATGTTTATCTAAACGCAATTATCAATATAAGAGTTATATTAATTAAAAAAAAAAAAAAAAAAAAAAAAAAAAAAAAAAAAAAAAAAAAAAAAAAAAAAAAAAAAAAAAAAAAAAAAAAAAAAAAAAAAAAAAAAAAAAGAAAAATCATTGATTCGAGCTATCATGATTGTGATCGAATATTGACTCAAAAAATATTTCTATCAAACGAGCGAGTTATTTATTTAAAAAAAATATCAATAATAAATCACTTACACACACACACACACACACACACACACATATATATATATAAAACTTAAACATGACTTCCAATAAATATAATGACAATTTAGAAACATCATATGATTAAATTATCAAGATATTGATTTCATTGAAATATAAATCAATGAATGTCTTTGAATGATCGACATGAAATTGCACAAAGTAAAATAAGTAATAGGAGAATCGAATGTGCAATCGGTGTCTTTCTTCCTCTCTCTTTCTCTCTCTCTCTCTTTCTCTCTCTCTCTCTTTCTCTCTCTTTCTTTCTCTATCTTTCTCTCTCTCGTTCAGAATAGTTCATCGTGGAAGTAGGTCAGGGAAAGGCGTGTACACGTTCGAGCTCTCGAACTCGTACTACCTGTCCGCTAGGATATACACACAAGAAAGAAAAAGAGAAAGAACTCTTGCTTGTTTGCTTGCTTGCTTGGTTGCTTGCTTGGTTGCTTGCTTCGTTGCTTCGTTGCTTGGTTGCTCCTTACAGAAGTGAACGTACGACGAGTAATTCTCAGTCATTCAAACTCTTGACGCGATATCCTGTTAATAACCAATAACTGGTTTTCTTTCTTAAATTATATTTACCATCTGTTTAGAGAAAAATTTATAATCAACTAAACGAAATAAATCTAACATTTGTATTAATATTCAATTAATTTCAATAATTTGATCCACATTAGATCGATTAATGAATTAATTTTCAAGATAAACGAATTATATATATATATATATATATATATATATATCTAAAACATTAATATTCGTATTATAAAATAATAATCACATTTAAAATGAATTCTTATAACGATCTTATATTTCTTATTAATTCCACTTGTTGTTAATATTTATTTAATAATTGTCACATCATTTTATTCAAAAAAAAAAAAAAAAAAAAAAAAAAATAAATAAATAAATAAATATTTTTTTTCCTTTTTACAAAGAAATATCCTCTATCGAAGGACCTAAATATAATAATAAAAAAAAAAAAAAAAAAAAAAAAAAAAAAGAGAAGAAAGGAAAAAAAAAAGAAAAATCAATAACTAATTCCAATGATAAATCTACAATTTCGATCGAATGAAATAAACAAAATAAATTCATGCGAGTTCCATCGGAAATTAATTCCTACGGAGAAGAAAAAAAAAAAAAAAAAAATATGGTACAAAATTAAATCGCATATAAATGATATCAAAAACACGATTTTCCGTCTTATTTTAAATTCCGGAGAAAGATCTATTGTTTCTTTCTTTTTTTTTCTTTTTCTTTTTCTTTTTCTTTCTTCTTCTTCCTCTTTTTTTTTTCTACTGATATTAAATTTCCAACGAAAATTTTTCATACGAACGAACGTCGAAATAAAGAAATTCATTAATGTTCCACACCATTTAAAAAATACTTATAAACATACTTATTACACAAATATCTCACACTGATATAAGAGATATCATAAATAAAATCTGATTATCACTAAATCACTATGTGGTACGTATAAATGAAGGTTCATCGGATAGACATTAACTTTGATGATATATTACTGCGAATAATCGACGAGTTTCGATCGGTTTATTAAGAAATGAGAAATATAAGAGAGAAAGAGAGAAAGACAGAGAGAGAGAGAGAGAGAGAGAGAGAGAGAGAGAGAGAGAGAGAGAGAAAGAGAGAAAAACAGAAAGAGAGAGAAAGAGAGACAGACAGACAGAGAGAGAGACAAAAAGAGAGAGAGAGAGAGAGAAAGAGAAAAGAAAAAGAAGAAGAATAAGAGAAAAAGAGAAAAAAAGAAGAGAATGAGAAAGAGAAAGAAAAAAATCGAGAGAGAGAAAGACAGACAGACAGACAGAGAAAGATAGATATGTATATAGAAAGAGAGAGAAAGAGAGAGAGAGAAAGAGAGTGTTTATGAGAGAGACTAAGCAAGCCAGCTATCGAGTTTCTCGAATGTGATCGATGAGTGGACATGAACGATCTCTCATCATTGTCTAACGAAAGAAAGAAAGAGACAGAGATAGAGATAGATATAGAGAGAGAGAGAGAGAGAGAGAGAGAGAAAGAGAGAGAATTGAGAAAACGTTAACATGACCATCATAAAATGTCGTGCAACCATAAACGGCGGATGCATATTGTAAAGCTCGAGCAGGTGCATATCTGCCTTTTCTCTCTCTAACTATCTCTATCTCTTTCTCACTGGTTATATCTTTTCTCTTTTTCTCTCTCTCTCTCTCTCTCTCTCTCTCTCTCTCTCTCTCTTTCTCTCCTCTTCTTCCAAGAGAATATCCAACCTCGCCTTTGTCCATTTGCGATCTCCTCTCATACCTTGTTCGTTGAGAATTACGATCGTACCGGATTCTCTTACGACCGACTTAAATTGCGTCAATCAGAATGGATTCTCTCTCTCTCTCTCTCTCTCTCTCTCTCTCTCTCTCTCTCTCTCTCTCTCTCTCTCTCTCTCTGTTATAAAGAGAGAATGATAGACAGATAGATATATCTTATTTTCTAAAGATAGATAAAAATTCGAATATTATTTGATCTCATTCAAAATAGTCAATGAAAAAAAAATGTTCAATTAATTTTTAAACAGATTTTTAAGATCACGAGATGAGGATCTATCTTATAATAATCGTTATCAATATCAATTGTTATCAATGTTAATTGTATAAATTATTTAAATACTTACACGATTGATTAACGTAAAAATTTTATCTTCAATATAATATTGTTAATATTCCTTTTACTCCGATGTTAACACTACGACGTTCTTATTTATACTAAGAGACGTATTTACGTATCACCTCGTCGTCGTCGTATTATAAACTATCTGTTACTCAGAATTCTTATTTACCTATATCTATTCATTATAAATGCCTTAAAGTCACCTTTAATAACAAGAGTACGATAAACGAAAAAGGAACAATAATATTCCACGTTGTAGTATTTAAATTATTTCTATCACCTCTATTTGACTTTTTCGTCTCTCTCTCTCTCTCTCTCTCTCTCTCTCTCTCTCTCTCTCTCTTTCTCCTGACTCATTCATTCATTCATTCTCTCTCTCTTTCTTTCTCTCTCTCAATCTCTCTCGTTACAAATTCTAGGAACTACTTTCCAAAATAAAAACAAGTAGTGACGTATCATAACTACGCATCGATTTTATCAACCAACAGAGAAATATATATATATATATATATATATATATGTATGACATAAAAGTATATAATCGTTAATTAACAAGGGATTAGTTTATTGCGTAATACGTATAATTAATTTAATACGAATTACGTAAGAATATTATGTATATGCACATGTATATATATATATACATATATATATTTTTTTTTATTAAAAGCACTTTCATAGTTATCGTTGATTGACATTATTAAAATATAAGCATATATATATATATATTATATTCTAATCATTTTATTAGACAATTTTAATTACTATTAAACGTATCATCATATTCATTGAATATACAACGAATCGATAAATGCATAAAATAAAATATATAAAGTGAGATAAAACTAAAAGAAGATAAAAATTGTCGATCATTTTCATCTCGACAATATTTCCAAAACAAATCGATTAAAAAAGAACATTGATAACTCAAAATTGATGACAATAAATCAACTAAAAAGAAAAATCTTCGAACGAATGATAAAATATATAATATATCCTCTCTTTCGATGGATATACCAAACCATTTGCATATAATTAGAATAAAAAAAAAAAAAAAAAATCATATATAATATATATTCTAATTGTCTTATCGTGCAATTAAAAAATTGCGTATAGAAAACAGGAGAGAGAAAAAAAAAGAAAGAAAAAAAATTAAAAAGGAAACAAACAAAAAAGAAAAAAAAAAAAAAATAAAAGTATACTCTTTCATCGTCAATTTTATGATAAACGTTGTGCTCCAAAGAAATGATTAAAAGAGAGAGAAAAAAAAAAAAAAGAAAAAAATGAAAAGAAAAGAAAAAAATATAGCAAAGAAAAACGAAAAAGATCTAAACAAAAATGTAATATACATAATAATCCATAGTATAAGTACACATACATCATTTTCCATAGGATATACCGAACGTGCAGTTCGTTTCATACCGGAAACGAACTGCATTCCAACACATCCGTGCAACGGCACATTGGACAACAATGCCAACAATCTCTCTTCTCTCTCTCTCTCTCTCTTTCTCTTTTTCTCTTTTTCTTTCTCTTTTTCTTTCTCTTTTTCTCTCTCTCTCTCTCTCTCTTTCTCTTTTCGCACACACGAACACACATGTACGCTTAGCTTAGATACGCTTAGATACATAAATACATACATACATATATACATACATATTTATATACATAGATCATATATATATATATGTACATACATACATACACCCGCATATATATATATATATATATATATATACGCATTTAAAAAACACAAGTTACGAAAGAGAGACAGAGGCACACGTTGCGTTTACGTAGCGTTGTTTACAAAACATAAACGAACGCGCGTACCGGAGGAAGAAAAGCATATGCGTGTGGCGCGTGTCGAGTCACTGATTAGCGAACAGCTAAAACGTGAGTCTTTGCACATGCACGTTTAGTAGAGCCCATTGTGTAAGTACCGATAGAAAGAAAATGACTTTAGAACTAAAGTAAGTACTTACGAACGAACGAACGAACGAACGTACGTACGTCTCTGTCTCTCTCTCTCTCTCTCTCTCTCTCTCTCTCTCTCTCTCTCTCTCTCTCTCTCTCTCTCTTTCTCTCTCTCTCTTTTTCTTTTTCTTTTTGCTCTCTTATCGATTGTTTCGAAAGAAACGATAGAATGAGAAAAATTGTTTTACATCGCCAACATTTTGTTTTTTTTATAAACGTTCAACAATGCAACATGGCGTAATGATTGATAAAGAAAAAAAAAACAAAGTAATAAATAAATAAATAAATAAATAAATGGAATATACGCGTAAATCGAGTTTCATTAAAATAATATTCTGAAAGAATGTTTAGAACGCTAAAGAAAAAATTGTTTTCATTGTTTACGGATCGATGAGTTTATACGTGTATCTCTTATTTGAATATTTCATTTCTTTTTCTTCTTTTATTCCCGATGATATAATACATTTATATTACGAACCGATCGAATAATGTCGACTATCTAATACTCAATGTTTTCTAAACATTTATATTTAATGTTTATTTAATAATTACATATATATATATGTCTTTATGAATCTTTCATAAAATAATTTAAATTTGTTAATAATAATAAATTAATTTAAATTTGTTTAATTGAACCTATTGAATCTATGTAACATTTTTATTATTTAAAATGTTCACTTTAATCTGAACGTTTATAGTGACTTAGAAAAATAAGTTAGACTTGATTAATTCATTTATATACATATATATATATAGATAGTCTAACTTTTTCATTGGCTGATTTATTCTAAATCTTTGTTCATTTTTTTTTTTTTTTTTTTTTTTTTTGGTTCATGATCAATCAATCGTATATTTTATTGGCTAATTTTCGATGTCACAGGGCTCGTCTGACGATGCAGGATAGGAACGTCGACGTTCAAGAGGGCATAAGATTTCGGAGCGTTCGCAGAAGGCTCTTTCAAGAGGACGAAGAAATAGGAGGTGGTCGAACGCGTGATTTAAACACTGGCATTGAGGACAACGTTGCTAATTGCTTCTTCGAGGAGGTCCGCAAACATCGAGAAGAGGTAAAAAAAAAAAATAAAGGAACCATTAAAATGTAATACGGTAGAGCGCGTCGAAGTTAAACATTTAAAAAAAAAAAAAAAAAAAAAAAAAAAAAAAGGAACGAAAAAAGAAATTGGATTCCTAAAACATAATTTCTTACTCTTAAATACGTCAAATCTAATCTCGCTCCTAATCGTTTCCAACCCCCACCACCCCACCTCCCTTCCACCTCCGCCATAATATTTCTCTCTTTCGACGATCGACTCCAAAAATATAAGAGATTATTTTTCACGTGGATCTTCCTTCCTTTCTTTCTGATCAAATCTAATTAATAGAGAACGTATATCGATTAAAAAAAAAAAAAAAAAAAAAAAAAAAAAAAAAAAATAGATATTCATAACAAATACTTTATCTCTTTCTAATATAATTCTAATCAATGTTCTACTTATTATCAACAACTAATGATACATATCATCACTATTATCCCATTTGCATACTAACATACATACATACATACATACATACATACATACATACATACATATATATATATATATAGATACACAACCAATTTAAAAAAAAAAGATAAATAAATCTGAATTCGTACAGACAAAAAAAAAAAAGATACAAGCTCGTTGAATATCGCAGGCTAAAAAAAGATGGAACTTCGATTTCGAGAAGGAAATACCACTGCCAGGTAATTACCAATGGGTAAAACTTGACCGAGATGGGAACGAAATTCCGATGATCACGGAAGCCCAGAACAAAACTGAGAAGATGGAAAAGAATAAGAATGACGTCGAGAAAGAGGAGGAGCAAGAGAAACAGGAAAAGGAAAAGGAAGAGGAAGAGGAAGAGGAAAAGAAGGAGAAGGTTAAGGAGAAGGAGATGAGAAAAAAAAAAGAAGAAGAAGAAGAGAAGGAGGATAAGGAGAAAGAGGAGGAGGAGGAGGAGAAAGAGGATGAGGAACCACCGGAAGAGAAAGAAGTTGATGGGGACGATAAAGCTGACTCGAGAAAGCAAAAAAATCGAAATAATTCTCGCGTAGACGACATTTTATGATGAACTGCGAAAAAATGAACCACCGTGATATTACTCGTATTTCTAAGAAAGGAAGAAAGTGAGAAATAGAGAAAAAATAGAGAGAGAGAGAGAGAGAGAGAGAGAGAGAAGAAAAATAAAAATAAATTAAAAAGAAAAAAAAACAGAAAGACAGAAAGGAGAAAAACAAACAAAAAGAAAATTTTTAAATTTGATATTAAAAAATGTTTGAAATTCTTTTTTCTTTTCATACATTTTTATAGAATTATTAATATTAATATTAATATTATTATTATTATTATTATTATTATTATTATTATTATTATTATTATTATTATTATTATTATTATTATATATAATATATAATAATAATATTATTATTATTATATATAAATTATATATATTATATATAATTTTTTTTTTTCCTTTTTTTTTCTTCCATGAATTTTTACAACCATTATTATTATAACTGTTATTACTATTGTTTCGTTTTACGTAACAAAAAAATTGAAAGATTAATATTAAAAAATGGTCAAAAGTTTTAATGGGATCACTATTATTATTATTATTATTATTATTATTATTATTATTATTATTATTATTATTTGTTTTCAATTTACTAAAACTGACTGAAAATTAATTTTTTTCATTATACTTTCGACTGAGAATATCAATGGAATTCGGGTTTTCTTTATTTTTTTTTTTTTCTTATTTATTTATTATGAATTATTTATTTGTTATATAATATTTTATGTATTTTTATTTCTTATCTAGCTAAGTTCTAGTCAGAACCAATGCGATGATGTCCATTTGTTATCACGTAAAACTATACCAAAGTCAACAATTCGTATTCTTTTTTTCTCTTCTTAAATTTTTTTTTTTTTTTTTTTATACTTTTTCTCTTTTTAATACTTGAACATCGAGAAATTGTTTCTTTGTTTTATTACTTTTTTTTTTTTTTTTTTTTTTTTTTTTTTTTTTTTTTTTTTTTTTTTTTTTTTTTTTTTTTTTTTTTTTTTTTAATTTGTTAGAACTCCAGTCCATCTTAATTGTCCCCAACGAAAACAAAAAACAAAAACAAAAAAAAAAAAAGAAACGATATTATTTATATTATGTATTACATATTAAGTAACACGTAAATAAGTAGCATTATTTAATTCGATATAAATATGTATATTTATTCGAAGGGTAACGTGCAATAATACACGCGACTCTGCAACCATTGATATTTATATAATATATACTTACATAAATAAATAAATAAATAAATAAATAAATAAATAAATAATTTGTATACAAGATACTTTGGATATAATAAGAAGAATGATATAATATATATGTACTATGTATTTAATGATTTTTCTAAAGAAATTTTATATATATATATATATATATATACGTATATATATTTGTGAAATTTCTTTGATTTATTTCTATCCTTTTAAAACTGAACTCAACAAAATTATTTAAATAATATTCTAAATAATCGTATAAAGGAATAACACTAAAAGAACAAAAACAACAAACGAAAACACACACACATACACAAACAACAGACAGACAGACAGACAGACAGACAGACAGACAGACTGACAGACAGACAGACAGACAGATAGATAGACAGACATATCGTTTGATGAAAAAGAATATAATTGATTTTTGAAATCATTTAGAAACTCTAATGTTAATCTCAACCAAATATATCGTGTATGTTATAGAAATATAAAAAATGGAGGATATAAAAAATAAAAAGAAAAAAAAAAAAAAAAAGAAAAAGAGGGATCATAATTTTTTTTGTTGAATTAAATAAACAATCATACAAATATTGAAATACTTGATTGAACAGAAACATGAAAAGACAGAGCTTTGAGTTGTTCGTTAAGTTACATGCTTCAGCCTACTATTGCATGCGAGCAATGCACGACCCAATTTCATATTTCCCCTCCCTCCCTCTCCTTTCTCTATCCCATCCACCATCTCTTTTGCTCTAACGAAAAGACGAGATGAAACATCTGCCGTTAGTGTCTTCCTACAAGACGTAAACATTTCGTAAGACTCTCCTCCCTAGAGATGGTTGGATGTTGTATTGCTTATGTGGGTCGAGTAAGCCACACATTCGCTTCTTCAACTTCAATCTAAACGATAGAGATATGCCCATTCGTTTTATGATGTTTTAATGATATCAAACGATCAATTATGGACACTTACAATTGGATATTTCCATGGAATTAGAATTCATTGAGAATATACATTCGTTTATTACTCAGATAAATAAAGTTTTCTTTTTTCTTCTTTTTTTTTTCTTTTTTTTTATCTCGATATTAATACAATACAATATGAGACAAAAGTTGCTTTAACGAATTTGAAAAAAAAAAAGAAAAAAAAAAAGAAAGAAAAGAAAGAAAAAAAAAAAAAAGAGGAAGAAAGAATGAAAAAATAAATCGATTACATTCCTTATCGAAATATTTTACGGCTACTTTTTTATTTTCTTTTTTTTTTTTTTTTTTTCTTTTTTTTTCTTTCTTATGCTTTCGTAAAACTACAAAACATTTAATTTAACCTGTATTAAGTATAACAATCAATCAATCTAGATTTAGAAAGACACTGTTAACGAAAATTGACGCTGATCTGATAGGAAGAAAATAATGAAAAAGAAAAAAAAAACAAAAAAAAAAAAAATATATATATATATACACATATATATGAACTAATTAACTACGTCAAAAGAGAAATCCCTATATGAGATTTAAAAAAAAAGAAAAAAAAAAAAAGGATGTATAATCTTTACAATACTAATGAATGGAGATATTTTTATAATATCCTATTTATTAATAGAACTGGCTTGAACGATCAAAAGCTATTATATTAAAAATCTAAACAATTATGATAACGAGAAAATCGACAGAAATTAAAGATAATACCAATTAGTCACAACAAAAGGATACAAAATAAAATCCC